GGACTACACGTCCCGAACACCCGCCGACGGACAGGCTCCGCCGGCCGACCGACGCACCCGACCCTCCCCTCGTCTACGTAGTACATGGCTAGCCGCATCAGCCGCTGCTCCACCGCTTCGAGTCTCTGGCTCTCGAGAAGGTGTCGACCGTGGTGACACTCTGGCCGCCCTTGCTCGTGGTGGTGAGTGTTACCGTCATGGTCGCGCCTGCGGCGCGGCAGAGGCGTGGCGCACAGGAGGTAGCGGCGGGGCAGATGCGCGGCGCTTGACTCGCCGCACCGTCTTCGGAGACGGCGTTTGTCATCGTCTCAACAAGCTGCCTGTCGGGAAAGGTCTTGTGGAACACCTGCGCGGGGGTGCACCAACGATGAAAGCGGCGGTATCGAGGTGAATATGAGCCGGCGCCGGCGCACCAGAGAGCAGGTGTCGGCGTCCCACCGCGCCAGGAGGAGCACGCGGTCTCCATTCTCGCTGCCCTCAACGGGCTCTGTCGCCGCCGGGTCGAGCGTCTGCTTCACCTGCGACCGCACGCGTGCGGGCTCGGCTCTGCGAGCGGCCGAGCGGGACCGGGCCTGGTGTGGAGAGGACCTTGATCATCTTGAGCAGCGTGTACGTATGTGTGACGACGCCCTCGGCGATCTCTACATCCTTTACGGCCGACCTATATGATGAGCGCCATCGATCTGTTCCTACTAGTCGCTGCTGCCGAACGGCATTCGAGTGAATCGCACAGCCCCGCCGCAACCCTACGACAGAGAGTCAACCTGTGAGATTGTTGTCCGCAGTCACGGCACCCAGCCTGGCATGTGGCTGGATTGCACGCACTTGCGATTTGCCCAAGAGACACCCTTCAGCTTCATCCACGCGTCGTACTGGCCGTCGTGCGTCACCAGAATCCACTTGCCGACCAGCTGCTTCTGCCACTCCTCCATTCAGTCTCGGTCGGCGTTAGGTTCTTGAGTGGATATCCTCTGTGGCCGCACTGCCCGGGGCTAGGTCTATCGCTATCGATCGCCGCAGCACACAGCCAAAATTGCGTCTTATCGATCAACACTTTCGATAGACCGAAAGTAAGATCGTTCGGTGCAGAAACCCCGGCCATGCCCATGTAACGCAATTGTGCTCGATTTTTCGAGGAGTCTGGAGCTTCAGCTGGCGAATCATGCCGCTCTCGGCACAGAAGCAGCGCGAGCGCCGCGCCGCGCAGCGCGCTGCCGAGGCTCAGGACGCGGCTCGCGGGCAGCGCAACCGCCCGGCGCCGAGCCGGTGCTAGGCCGCCTCCGCTGCGCCTGTTTCCTTGCGCGCCGCTGGACGTCGGCCGAGAAGACCGCTTCCCTCTGGGGACCCGACTCCGCGAAGATCGCGCGCGCGTCGTGAGTGGCGGCGCGCGCGCGATCTCCGTTCCCGGGCACGCCGGTCGCAGTGGCATGGGCTCCCAGGCTCAAAAGCGCTCCCGTCAACAGCGAGCGAGCGCCGCCGCTGCTCCTCCTCCCGCCGCCGCTCACCGAGACTCGGTGCCGCCGTTCTCGCCGCCGCCGCCGCCGCCGCCGCCGCCGCCGCCTCGCGCCTCGCCTCCGTCACCGCCGCCCTCCATCTCGCAGCGGCGCGTCCCTCTGATACGGCTCTATGGCGCGGGCGCCTCGCTCACCGGCGCCTCGCCGCCGCCCCCCCCCCCTTCTCGCGCCGCTCCGCTCGTGGCCGCCGCCTCCCCTGTCAATCCCGCCGCCTCCCCTGTCATCCCGCCGCCCGCAACACCGCCGCCACCGCCTCGCGCCTCGCCGCCGCCGCCACCGACCGCCCTCCCCTGCGCCGCCGCTGAGCGCGGTGCAGGGGGCGAGCCCCCGCTGCGCCGCCTCACCGCAGTGCACTGCGCTCTCCGCGCCCCTGACGATTAGTGAGGAGGTGGTGTTGCACAGCATGGAGCTCGGCGAGCGTTTAGCGAGCCCCTCAGCTAGAGTGATGAAATGCTCCCGCGCGAGTATGTGTTTGCCGCAGGCTGGCCAGATCGGACGCGCGTGGAGGGAGTCTAGGATGGGGAGAGAGGGAGGGGTGAGCCTGAAATTTAGAAAAGGAGTTGCGGTGTTGATCGCCGCGGGAGCCCTCTTATTTGATTTTTTGCTCTACTGTCATGGATGTGCTGAGCGCACTGGCCACTGCGCTCTGCCTCCTCCCGGCCGCCGCCCTCTCGGCGCCGGCCTCCTTCCTTGCCGCTGGAGAGCCGCCGGTGGTGGTAGACTTGCGCCCGCGCGAGGCCTTTGAGCAGTGCCATCTGAGCGGCAGCAGCTCTCTCCCGCTCACGTCACTTCGCGTGCGCCTCTTCGAGCTCCCGCCGCCCGGCGAGTGGCCGCTGACCCTCGTTGGCAGCGCGGCGGAGCTCGAGACTGCCCGCGCGCTCCTGCTGCCGAAGGGATGGGAATTTGAGGAGCGACATGCAGACGACTCGGCATTCTGGGAGGGCGCGGCGAGCGAGAGCGGGCCGGACTCGGCGCCGCTGCTTCGCCCGAACGCCTTCTTGGCGTCCGCGCTGCGCCAAGTCGACCTTCCCGAGGCGGGAGCGGCGATAGACGTGGGCTGCGGCAGCGGCCGCGACGCCGTCTTCCTGGCGCAGACGCTGGGAGACACGTGGGAGACGATTGGCGTCGACAACCACAAGGGCGCGCTGGAGCGGGCGCAGCGGCTTGCGGATGGGTGTGGCGTGTCGGCCGCCTTTGCGCTGGCGAACGTGCGCAAGCAGAGCCTCTCCGATCTGACCGAGCGGCCCATCTCTATTGTGCACGGCTGCCGCTTCCTCGACCGGCCGCTGCTGCGCGCGCTGCCCGAGGTGGTCGCTCCGGGCGGGCTGGTCGTCTGGTCGACATTTCTCGACGGCGATGGGCCGCCGCAGGCACCGCCTTTTCGACCCAGCCGCCGGCTGCAGCGAGGCGAGATGGAGCACCTCTTTGGGGAGTCGCGCGGCTTCGAGGTGCTGCGCGCGGAGGAGGGCACGCTTCTCACGCGGGGCGTGTGGGAGAGCGCACAGTTTCTCCTCGCGCGAAGGACTAGATGACCCCCGCCTCCTCGTGGGCGAAAGAGGCTGGTACGACGAGTAATTTTTCTTCCGGTCGCGGTCGCCGCCGACGCCGGTCCCGCTCACGAGAATGCGGCGCACGCCGCGCCCGCGCCCTCCGGCGCTCTTCAGAAATCGCGACAAATCGTGTAAGAGCTAAGACGAGCGTGAAGACTGAAGTCTGAAGTGTGAAGAGATAGACGCGTCCCGGGATCTAGGCGCGGGAGCCACCGTGTCGCGAGAGTTAATGCAAGCCGCGAACTCTCGCGCTCAAACACAGTACGCAAGGTACGCAAGGGCGTTGAGCACGAACGCTCCCAGGCTTCAGATGGGCGGCAGCTTCCGCTCGGGGGGTGCTCTGCGGCGCAACTCCATCACGGAGACCCTCGCCGGCCGCAGGTCGCCCGGCATCGGGGGTGTCGTCTCCTCAGACAGCACCTCGTGGCACCAGCCCAAGTCCTCGAGCGTGGCGAGGCACTCGGCCGTACTCCACCGGTGCTCGCATGAGATCAGCACGACCGTCGTCGGCCCCGCCAGCGCGTCGAGCGCCGCGGCAAACGCGCCCGCGGTGCCGAGCGAGTAGAGGCACTCGGCGCCGAGGCTGAGGTCGAAGTGGGTGGCCGACGAGTGTGCGGGCAGCAGTGCCGCAGCGTCGCCGACCGCCCACTCGTACAACTTTGCGCAGCATCGGTCGCCGAGCCCTCGCTCGCGTATCGAGGCGGCGAGGTCGTCGACCAGACTCGCGTGCTTGTCTGAGAGCGTGACATACGCGTTTGGCCCGGCGAGGGCAGCCGCCTGCAGCCCGGCCACGCCTGTGCCCGCGCCCAGCTCGCACACCTGCCGCAAGGAGGGGTCGGGTATGATGACGCGTGGCGCGACGCTCCCCGCGTCTCGCACGCCCCGAGGCTCGCCTGCGTCTCTGCGCCACCGCTGAGGCGCTGCGCCCACCCGCCGCGTGTGGCAATGTGGGCGGCCAGCACGCGGGCGCCGTTCCAGGCGATGCCGCCCAGCAGGTGCGCAGTGGCCGGTGGCGTGTGGAGGGCCGCAGAAGCCGGTGGCGCGTGGGCATCGCCGCCGGTCGGCTCCTCCTCCTCTGGCGCAGCGGCGATCGTGGCGAGCGTGCGCACCACCGGCGGCTCCTCGCGCCTTCTCCACACGGTCAGGTCGTCCGAGTTGTACGACCACGTGTGCAGCCGCACCGCGCGGAGGAGCTCGAAGCGCTCGGAGAGAAGCGCCTGGAAGGCGCGGCTCGCAGAGGCGCCGCAATCGGGCGGCGACCCCTCCTGCACCGCCACGCGCTCCTCCCTCTCGCCCACGTACACGACGGTGCGCCCGCCCGCGCGCAGGTACGATGCGACGCACTCCGCGTCCCACACGGGCGGCGGCGGCGCGCGCGAGGCGCCGCCCGCGCGGCACAAGTGCGGGTTGTCGGCCGAATCGGCGTTGTTTGGCCAGATGAGCAGCAGCGCGCGGCGCCTCGCGACGTCGCCGCCCTGCTCGAAGACGGAGCGGCCGTCGCCGCGCAGGACGTTGCAGTACACCTGACAATTGCGGTTTTGATCGCGAATCTTTTCAATTTGTTCGGGTGTCAGGTTAGCACGATAACTGCGTTGCCTCCGAGAAGAAGGGGTTGTTGAAGCGCTCGCTCGGGGGCTGCGAGTCGTAGGCGACGACGTCGACGCCGCGGTGCTGCAGCAGCGCCGTCCAGTAGCCCGACCCCGCGCCCATCTCCACGATGGGGCCGCACTCCGCGATCGCGGCCAGCGCGCTCTCGGACGGCACGGCGAAGCTCGCGACGTGGCACAGCGGCACGATGACGAGCTTGGACAGCGTCTTCATCGCGACGGGCAGCTGCCCTCGCTGCCGGTGCGGCTGAAGCAGACGCGCGCCGCCCCTTCCCAGCGACGAGAGCAGCGCCATGTCCTCGGCGGATGCGCCGTCGCAGCTGGTGTAGAGCCTCCACACCGCCTCCGGCACGATGGCGCGCAGCCGCAGGTAGACCGCCTCGAGCCAGTTCGTCTCGAGAAGGCCCGGACGCTCTGCCGCCGGCTCGGCGCTCTCGTCGCGGATGTGCCACGGAGCCTGCACGCGCAGGTGCGAAAAGAGCGCGCGAAGCACGCGCCGGTTCTGGCGCGCCTTGCGGCCCATGCCGCTGGCGGCGAGCTCCGTGCGCGCTCCGCCGGAGGCAGTCCGCGGCGGCAGGCCGTCGCGGAGCGACTCGGCCGCGAGCGACTCGCAGAGCGCCGCCGACGCGTCCGCGTCGAAGAGGTTGTAGGCGGGTAGGAGCACGTCGAGCACGAGACGGCGGAGCGACGCGGCGGCGCGCTCGTCCGCAGCGGACATCAAGAGATGTGGTGTGTCGGGGTCGTTGGTTCTCGTACTCACGCGCCGGCACCGGGCTCTAGCACAGAGACCTCAACGCGCCGCAGTCCCGGGCAGAGGGCGGTGATCTGTGATCCCCTGCGTCTCCTGTTGGGAGTGTGAACGCCCTATGAACGCCCTATGTTTATGTGAACGCCCTCATGAATAGAGAGAGAGGGCGAGACGTCTCTATCCTAGCGAGATGTCTGTGTGAACAGGGACATGTGCGGGACGTGTCAGGCTTGCCTTTCCTCTGTTTGTCGGTCGTCCGCTCAACCGCGGCTTGGCTGATGTAGTCTTGCTTGTACCGTTCCTGTACGCCTCGGTACAGACCCTCCTCACAGCTCACTACATGGTACCTCCGGTGAGATCGCAGAGCGAGGAGATCGACGGCAACTTGGCCGTCATGATTGCTGGTGCGATGCAGCCGCACAGCTTAGTCCGGCTAACGCTTGATACGATAGCCGGCACCACGGACGCCTGCGGGGTGTCGTGGTGGCAGTCAGGGTCGGAGTCCCTGCTCACAAGTCTTCTTGGCACCTCGGCCAGGAGCCTGCTTGGCAACTCGGCCGTGCAGCATGTAAACCGGACTGATGCCC